ATATTGTTCTTCTTACAACAGTCCCTTTAGCATTTCTTGAAATGCTGGTTTCTTGGTAATAAACTTCTTTAGTCTTTTTTTTTGGTCTGGGGAGCTCTTTATTTCACTTCAATTTTGAATTATTGCCTTGCTAGATAGAGTAGTCTTTGTTTCAGATCCTTGCTTTTCATTACTTTGAATACTGTCCCTTCTGTCCTGTAGTTTTTTCTGCTGATAAATAAGGTGACAGCCTTATGGGAGCTCCCTTGTAGGTATCTGACTGTCTTTTTCTTGCTGCCCTTAAAATTCTCTCTTTGTCTTTAATGTCTTCCATTTTAATTATGATGTGTCTGGTGTCGGTCATTTTGTGTTCATCTCAATTGGGACTCTCTGTGTTTCCTGAACCTGTATGGCTTTTTTCTTCACCACATTAGGGAAGTTTTCTGTCATTATTTCTTCAAACAGGTTCTTTATCCCTTGCTCACTTTCTTCTCTCTCTAATTCCCCTATGATGCAGATGTTATTCCATTTCGTGTTGATCTAAAGTTCCCTTAAACTCTCCTCATGTGTTTTAAGTTCTTTTTTTCCTTTTGCTGCTCTAACTGAATGTTTTCTCCTACCTAGTCTTCCAAATCACTGATTCGATCCTCTGCTTCATCAAGCCTGCTTTTAATTCCTTCCAGTGTATTTTTTATGTCAGACATAGTATTCTTTATTTATGGCTGGTTCTTGTTCATGGTTTCTATGTCCTTTGTCATGTTGATGTAGTTTACACTAAGTTCCTTGTAGTTCTTACTAAATTCCTTAAGCATCTTTATAATCATTACCCTGATCTCTATGTCTGATAAGTTACTTACCTCATTTAGGTCTTTTTCTGGCGATTCCTCATTTTATTCCATTTGGAGGTTGTTTCTTTGTCTCCCCATTTTAGTTGTCTCTTTGTGTTTGTTTCTATGTATTAGATATACTTGCTATGACTCCCAGTCTTTGTGGTGTAGCCTTTGCTCTTTGTCTCCCCATTTTAGTTGTCTCTTTGTGTTTGTGGTGTAGCCTTTGTAGTAAATATCCCATGGGACCCACTTGGTGCTGTCTCTTTGAACTCCTGAGCTGGATATTCTAGGAGTGACCCTTTTGTGTGTTATTTGGGCCCTCCTTTTATAATTGGATCTTGATTATTGCTGTCCCATTCATGGTTGGGATCTCCTCTCAGGCTGGCTAACTGTGAGGCTCAACCCCACCCACATTGTCTGAGCTGCTGTACAGGTGCAGCCTTGAGGTGGCTTCTGCCCTTCTTTGTTTAAAGTCTCCTCTCCAGACAGTCTTCATCTGGTCTTTCAGGGAGAATATTCTCCAATTTAGTTTAAATTCCAGTTAAATTCTGGAAGGTGATGGGAGACAGATCTCCTACCGGACCACCATCTTCCAATGCCCCCTCTGTAAAGAATTTTTATAAGAATTTGTTTGAACCCAAATGACAACAATGCTAGGAGGCAAGATCTCAAGTGCTCCCCAGTTTGGGTTTTCTAACCCTCACCTCAGACCTTCCAGGCCTCCACTCACCACCCAGTTCTAAAGCCACAACCACACTCCTAGGTGTTGGTGACATCACACCCCACTTCTGGTACTAAAGTCCACATTTATTTCCTACGTCAGCTGTACCGTAGTCCCACAGACCCAGTGGACTTAAACAACAGAAATTCACTGTCATAGACCTGGACCCTGGGAGTCGAGGTCAAGAGTCACAGGGCCAGTGACCCCAGGTTATAGGGGGATGGCCAGGCCCTCCCCACTGCTGCTCTGGGAGCTGCTGACATCCTCCGCTTGTAGAGCTCCTCTGTGCATGACCTCTCCCTGTGCGTGTCTCTGTGTCCAAGTCCCACTCCTGTAAAGACAAAGTCCTATGGGGTTTGGAGCCACCTGACTCCAGCAGGACCTCGTTATCTTATGGGGAGGGGAGATAGCCCTGCTGAGAAAGTGCAGGAAAATATGAGAGCAGGGTCATCAGACACTTGGGAGAGCAGTGCAGTGGGGTCTGCCGCCAGAGGACCTGTAGAGAGCACATGGTGCCACTGCCCAGCCAGACGGCTTGCATGCCAGCTGAATCACAGGGACCTGTGGCCCTGTCCCAGCACCGACAGGCAGTATGGGGGCAGGGACATGGGAAGAGGTGGAGCAGAGGTGCCATGAGACTAAGATAGAGCAGTGCTCTTAGGGACCCCATGTGGGCTCATCCACCTTGGTCACCCAGGTTCCCACAGAAAGGATGAGGAAGCTGAGCCAACCCACCAGGGAGTTGCCAGTCCCAGAGCCCATCATCCATGAGTGACAGCCCTACAAGCATCCAGGCCTGAAGTACTTGCAGGGTGTCACCTGTCTGGACATTGGCTGATGGAGCTGTGTGCCCCCAGATTCCCCCAGGTCAGGGCTGAACAACCCCTCTGAGACCAAAGTCACTGACAGGCTGGTCCCAAGCACAGAGCCCTTGGGAGCAGGAGTTAGGGATAGGAAGGGCTGACCTCACTGCTGCTCAGGTGACGACACACAAGTCCAGCCATGCTCTGCCTCACCTGCCAGGCAACTGAGGCCCCCAGGCCCATCACCCAGGGCACACCCTGAGCTGGGGTATCCCTCCACCCCTCACAGCTCCATGGGAGGAGTTAGGACAGGAGGTGCATAGAGCAAGGAGACTGGGCCTCCCCTCCAGGGCTCTGCCAGGCCCCCCAGGACCGGGGCCTCTCCTCCCACACTGCCCTGTGCCCTGGGGAGTGCCCGGCCTCAGAAGCACCACCTGTCTGTCTTCCAGGTGTGGCTGTGCTCCCCATGGTCCCAGAGTTCAAGGCCTCCAGAGAAGGCATCTCCGTGACCCTGGCCTGCTTGGTGACGAGGTCTGACTCAGCCACCTGGCACATAGGAGCAGAGAAGCTGCCAGCAAATGACATTGTGATTGGACATTTGGAGCAGAGAGTCACCTACCTCTTCTACCAAACCATCATCTGGAAGCCTGGCTCACACAGCTGCAGCGCCGATCACACGTCCAAGACCTTCCAGTGACCAGGTGGGTGGCCTCCAGCATGTCCCAGCATCTTCCAGGGCCTGACCTCAAGGACCAAAGCAGGGACTGGGCCCCGATGGGCACCCAGCCACCCCTCAGAGCAGCTCGCTCCCTACCCCCCACTCTGCCCTCAGCCGCTCCAGCTCCAGCATTCGAACCCAGTCCCTTCCACCCCTGTCCCCAGAGTGCTGGAGGCAGCAGCCCAAACCCGGCCCCTCCCCTGCCCTACCCATGTCTTCCCGTCCACCCGGAAGCCTGTCCCCCGCTTCGTCCACGATGCCCTCTGACCTCGGCTGCCCACTGCCCCTCTAGTTTCAGCATCTTGGAAAACCCAGGCCATCTCGGTGACCCACATGACACCTCTCTCAGAGAAACTCACCCCAGCCCCCACCACGGCCAGAGACCCAGGTGAGGAACCCCTCTGCCAGCATACCCCTCCCTACCCACCTGTCCATACCTTAGGCTGCCTCCTTCAGGCAGCCCTCCATCACTTCTGGGAGTCTTCAGTCACATTCTGGCCAGGAAGGACGGGCCCTGAACTTATGGCTACTGAGCACCTACCATATGCCAGGCCCTGTGTTGAGTGCCACTGAGGCCTTCAGGTGCCAGGGACCGGCCTAGGTCACTCTGCAGGGAGCACAGTGGACGAGGAGGGCCTTGGGCCAGCACTGGGATGCACCTGCCCTGTGGGCCTGGCTGAGACATGAGCTTCTTCTGGAGGCTTTTGTGGGGACTCATTGCCAGTGCAGCCAGGAGTGCGGAACCCGACCCCTGACCCTCACAGAAACACAGGGCGTCCCCTGAAGGCTGGGGTTGTGGTGGTGCACCCAAGGTCTGCCAGCCAGAAGACAGTGCTCATACTCTGAGCGGGTTGCCAGTGCCGGCAGGGGTGTGCTGGGCAGACACAGCGAGTCCCAACCCGCGGTGGCCCCACCAGGTTGCTGGTCCGGACGCGCACACCCCCAGCTGCAGTTGGTGCCTGCTGTCGTGTCCAGAGCGCCCTGGGGATGGGCCCTCCAGTGTCAGATGGACGGACACACATCTCCTATGTATCCTTTCATTTTATGATTTTTATGTTTTGTTAATCCTCACCTGAGGATTTTTTCCATTGATTTTTAGAGAAAGTGCAAGGGAGAGGGAGAGACAGAGAGAAACATTGATGTGACAGAGACACGTCGGTTGGTTCCTCCCCCACACTCCCAAACCAGTGCCGGGGATGGAGCCTGCAACCGAGGTACATGCCCTTGACTGGAATCGAACCTGGGACCCTTCAGTCTGTGGGCCGATGCTCTATCCACTGAACCACACCAGCCAGGGCGTGTCCCTTTACAAGCACACTGCTCCTGGCCTGCTGTCAGTCTGTGGCCCATTCACCTGTTGGCTGTCCACGCTCTCAACCATAGAAGGGGTTGTCATATAGATGGTCCTTGAGCACCTGGCAGTTGATCACGGCCACCAAACCAACAGGGCCCCACGAGAACCAGAGGCACACTCGGGGGCACCGACACAGGGACAATGTGGCTGGGGTGGGGCTCAGACCTGAACCTCACAGCTGGGGCCATGGAGAGGCCACAGCCCCGACCATGGGCAGAGCAGGAGGCGACCCTCCCCACCCATCCACTTCCCTCTCAGGGCCCCAAGGTCCCCTGAACCCAGGGGTGACGAGGGATCAGGTCACCATGCCCCAGACCCCTGCCCAGGTCCCAGCCAGAAGCTGGGATGCTGGACCCTTTCTCCGAGGCCAGTCCCTGGGGGCACGGAGCAGGGAGAGCAGGGAAGGAACAGGCCAGGGGCCTCACATGTCCTCTCTCCACAGCCCTTCTGGCCACCTCTGCTCACAAGGACACGCATTCTCCAGAGCCTTCCTGTGGCCCGGGCACAACCAGGCTTCTCCCTGCAGCTGCCACGGTGCCCAGCAGCCTCGCCGTCCGGGTCCTGGCCACGCAGGGTGCTCACGCCTCTGCCGGGGCGGCCTCCTGGCTCCTGTGCGAGGTGTCGGGCTTCTCGCCCCCGGAGCTGCTCCTCACCTGGCAGGAGGGCCGGCGCCAGGTGGACTCTTCTTGGTTTGCCACCGCAGCGCCCACAGCCGAGCCTGGAAACAGCATGTTCCACACCTGGAGTGTCCTGCGGGTCCCGGCCACCCCCGGCCCCCCGCTGGCCACCTACACGTGCAAGGTCAGGCCCCCGGCCTCGGAGGCTGCTCAACGCCAGCTGGAGCCTGGACACTGCAGGTTAGGCATCCCTGGGCACAGGGCTGTGGGTGGGCAGCCAGCACAGCAGCTGGCAGTCTGTGCCACCCCCCGGGACAGCCCCACCCGGCTGACTTGGTGTCTGGAGTTTGCACTCGCTGTCCCCACACTTGGGGATTTGGGTGACCTGACACCTGTTCGTCCCACTCATTCCTGGTATCCCCACAGTGGGCGCTGACCCAGGAGGGCGGGAGGCTGGGGCCCCCCGCCAGGTCCCGAGGAGCAGCCATTTCCTGTGAAGACACACCCGTCACTGGGCACGGAGCAGGGCCTCCTCCAGGGTGGAAATCGGGTGGTCACCACAGACGGCTCCTTCCGCGCCCCCCACAAGAGATGTCCGAGCCTCTCCAGGTTCCAAGGGCCCCAGGACCCATCCCAGCACCTTGGGAGCCAGGTGCACCCAGAAGGGAGGGCTGGACCCCACGCTGACTGTGGAGGGAACAGGGACCCACAAAGTGGGGCTCACCCTCCCCTCTGAGGCTTCCTGCCAGGCCGCCCATTGTGCACGGCACCCAGACCCTGCCCTGTCTTCGCCCTCCAGGCCCCCGGGGACGGGATGGGCATGCTGGGCCAGGCCGTGAGCAGGACACCATCCAGGCCGCCCAGCGCTCACCTGCCAACCTGTGCTCGGTGTCCACAGCACCACAGGCTGCGCGGGTCATGGAGATGGCCCTGCCCCCTGGGCGGGTCACGAGGGATCTGGTCACCAGGCCCCAGGCCCCAGCCCGGCTCTCAGTCTCTGTGGTAATAGACGGCTGCCCTTTAAATCTCCATTTCTCAGAGGACCCCTGAGTTCAGAGCATGTGATTAGGAATAAATCACTAATTACTCGAAGAATAAAATGACGAGAAAAGCAAAGTTGTACCCGCTTTTCATTGTTAGAGCCAACAGACTGCAAAGCCTTGGCACTCACTCATGCCCGGCCCACCTCCCGCACCCCATGCCACAGACAAGGGGCCCGGCGGCCTACGCTGCATGCTGGTTCCCAGGCCCACTTCCTGCCTGGCCCCGGGCACCCAGCCCAGGGCTGGGCAAGTCCCCCTCCCAATCCAGCAGGATGACGATGCCATACTCCAACCTGGCGTGTGCCCTGGCTCACAGCCATGCCACTCCTCCTGCTGCCATCTGGGCCTGCACCCCTCCGGGGCCTGGCCTCCTGCCCCCTCCATCCTCCTGGGCCAGGCTCTCTCCCAACTCAGGGCATCCGTGAATGCTGTTCCTTCTGCTTAGAATGCTGTTCCCTCCTCTCTTTGCCTGGTTGGCAATATCTCATCTTCCACAGCTCATCACAGCTGCCACTTCCAAGCACTGTATATGCTTTTAAATATGGTTATTGATTTCAGAGAGGAAGGGAGGAGAGAGAGATAGAAACGTCAATGATGAGAGACTGGGGGGTCGAACCTGCAACCCGGGCATGTGCCCTGACCGGGAATAGAACCGTGACTTCCTGGTTCATAGGTCGATGCTCAGCCACTGAGCCACATGGCCAGGCCCAGCTGCCACTTCTGAGGGAGGCTCCACGGCCAGGCTCCCGGGGCCATTCCCTGTGCATCTGCATCTTCTTACTGCCGGCGCCTCCCTGGCTTTCTGGTCACACGTGTGTGGACTTCCGTGCCATGTTTCGTTCTGGTTCACCTGCCCCAATCGGTGCTGTGGCCTATCTGGTTCTGCTGTGCCGGGCACGGGCCTGGCCATGAGAAGGAGGGGTGCAGATGCCTGTTGGGTGGGTGACAGGGTGGGCACTGGACGGTATGAGCTGTCACCTGGCATGCAGCTGCCGCTGTGCGCTGTGAAGCCGCAGGACTGACCTCACTGGTGCCGCTTCCTCCCTAAGCCCTGCCCCGCCCCTCTGGGGCCCCCTGAGCATGCACGAGGACTGTGATGGCTATGCTGACCTGGACGATGCCAGCTGCCTGTAACCCACCTTCGTGGCCCTCTTCCTCCTCACCCTGCTCTACAGCGGCTTCGTCACCTTCGTCAACGTGAAGGGCAGGGACATCCAAGGGGCTCGCTGGAGCCGGCCAGGGACTGTGCGGAGCCGGGAAACCCGGGCAGGAGGACAGTGGGCTGTGGGCACTGGCCCGGCCTGAGGGAGCCGCCCGGGGCCCTCACAGGAACACTGCATGCCTGGCCTCAGAGCCGGCCCTGACCCAGGCGCCTCCTCCCGTCCACCCTCTGGCCAGCCCATAAACAGTTCTGGCTCCTTGCACCTGCATCCTGTTTCTGTCCTGGCCCTCAGGATCCGCCTCTGGCCATGGCACCAGGTGCTGAGAGGCCGCTCACAGCAGGCCTGCCACGGAGGACCCAGGGGCCCGTCCACACAGTGGACTGGGCTGGGAGGCCGTGAACACACACAGGCAGGCTCACTCTGCAGGTGCACAGATGTATACGCTCACACAGCTCACATGGAAGCAACATGCACAGTGCACACATGCAGCATGCCCCTGTACACAGTTCACACACAAATGCACACATGTGTGCACACATGTGCCGGCCAATAGGCAACATACAGGCTTCACACGCACATTCCCGGAACCTGTCAGTCAGGACATTGAGATGGGAGGGCTCTTCTTGTCGCTGGGCAGTGTCATCACAGAGAGAAGCTGGCACTTACGGCTGCATGGCCAGCTGTGTGGGGACAACCACGGGGGACAGCCACGGGACAGCCATGGGAACAGCCACGGGACAACCATGGGAACAGCCATGGGACAGCCATGGGACAGCCATGGGGACAGCCATGGGGAAAACCATGGGAACAGCCATGGGACAGCCATGGGGACAGTCACAGGGGACAGCCATGGGGGCAGCCATGGGGACAGTCATGGGGGATGGCCACAGGGACAGCCATGGGAACAGCCATGAGGACAGTCACAGGGGACAGGCATGGGGGACAGACATGAAGGACAGTCATGGGGGACAGCCATGGGGGACCGTCACAGGGGACAGGCATGGGGGACAGACAAGAGGGACAGCCATGAGGGACAGTCATAGGGGATAGCTATGGGGGACAGACACGAAGGACAGTCATGGGGGACAGCCATGGGACAGTCACAGGGGACAGCAATAGGACAGCCATGGGGACAGACATGAAGGACAGTCATCGGGGAGAGCCCTGGGGAAAACCACGGGGGCTATCACTGGGCAGGGCCACTGGGGACAGCCATGGAGGCAGCCACAGGGCACTGCCAGGAGCCCAGGGGTGTGGGTACCCCAGAAGCTGGAAAAGGCCAGGTGGGTTCTCCCTGGAGCCTGTGGGAGGGGAGAGGGGCTGGCCCAACCACACCCTGAACCTGCCCAGTGAGGCTGGGCGAGGAACTGGGGGGGGGGGTCGGAAGGAGGGGCCATTTGCCCCAGCAGCCGAGGAAAAGGAGCACACTGCTGCCGCTCCACCCTGTCCCATTTCGGCCGACTCCCCGCCTGGTCTCCTCACCTGGTCGTGTGGTCTCCGTGCCAGAGGCCCAGGGTCACAACCGCAGGGTCTCCCTGCCCACCCCCTGGAGCCCTGTTTCAAGATCTCAGATGAGACCCCGGCTCCCCACAGCCCCAAAGTCCCTCATATCTTATGAGAAATCAGAATGGGGTCCTTCTGGGGCCCGGCTGCCCTGGCCTCCTGTCTCTCCATCCCTCTTTGTCCCCTCATAGGCTGTTCCAGGCCATGAGGCTCCCTCATCATCCCCTTCAGGTCTATGTGATGTCCAAACACCCTATTGCAAGGCCCAGGCCTCAGACCTTCCCCTGAGCCTCCTTCTACCACCTTTTGTGGCTCACTTATACCTGTCGGTTATTCTCGGTTTTCACCTAGAAAGTTGCCTCCAAGAGAACAGAGCTCTCGGCTGCTTCCTCATGACCCCCAGCAGACAGGACCCTCCAGGCAGACAGGACCCTCCAGGCAGACAGGACCCTCCAGGCAGACAGGACCCTTCTACCTGTCGGTTAATCAGGGGTAGGAGCTGAGGGTCTCAGAGCCTCAAAGGCATCATTGCTGGGCCTTCTACCCTGAGCCCTGCCCTCCAGCCCCACCCCACACTCAGGAGCCCACCATTGGGTCGCAGCTGTCTCCTGGCTGTTCCCAAGGGAGCAGGTCTTGACTTTTCCCTCTGCCCTTGGATTTGCACCCTGGAGCCCCATCCACAGGCCCCTGGGCGGCCAGGAGGGAGTCTGGGCACCACAGTCCATGGCCCATGATTCCCCTGAGTGTGTGGGTGCCTGGCTGGGCCGGGAGTCGGTTCTTGAAGTTCATTCTGTTCTCATTCTGTCTGTTTATAAAACAGTCCCTACCCAGCCGGCGTGGCTCAGTGGGTGAGCATCGACCTATGAACCAGGACGTCACGGTTCGATTCCCGGTCAGGGCACATGCTGGGGTTGTGGGCTCCGTCTCCAATGTGGGGTGTGCAGGAGGCAGCACATCTATGATTCTCTCTCATCATTGATATTTCTATCTCTCTCTCCCTCTGCTTTCCTCTCTGAAATCAATAAAAACATTTTAAAAAATTAAAACAGCCCCTGACACCGGGCATGAAACGCATTGTCATCAATGCACACGTGACCCTCACAGCTTTCTGGCGCCTGGCAGGACCCTGCCTGGACCTCAGCCCAGCAGCACTGGGAAGCTGTCAGGTGGTTTCCAAGAGCTGAGGCCACATCCAGCACGACTTCCCACCTGCTGGCCCCGCCCACTGCGGGAATCAGTCTGCCAGAGGCACGTGCTGGTCTCGTGGGCCCCCGTGCCATGAGCTCCCCGTCACTATGGCCTCTCCCCGGGGTGCCCCCCTACTCAGCGCTGAAACATCTGTCCCAGAAGTTGCGACAACAGGACACGCGCCCTCCCACACCTCAATCAGGGCTTGACAAGCCTGGTCCTCAGGCCGCTCCTCACCGGGCCCGGCTCCCGCCTTCCAGCCCTGAGGACTGCCGCTCCGTCCTGCTTTCCAAGCACCGTGTGAATTCCTGTCATGACCAACCCTCCTCGAGGGCCTCCCGGGAAGAGGGTCCTGAGAAGGGTAGTGAGAGCTTAGCTCAGATGACAGAACAAACTCACCACAACCCTCCTGGCCCAGAAGGTGCAGGATCACAGGGACAGCCACCGTGGCGGGCCAGACTGACATCCTCCTGGCCGCACCACGGGGGTTTGCGGATCTGCAAAGCCAGAGGCCTCTGGTGTGCACATCCCCCCCTGGCATGCAAACATCCCCCAGCACACTGTCACCCTCCCATGCCTGCAACAGTTGCAAACCAAGGGGTGCACAAGTTCCCCCCGCCTCTCCACCACACTTCCATCAACCCGGCATGCCTAACACCCCCACAGGATGTGCACACATCCCCTCTGATGTGCTCACGTCCTTTGGAGAGTGTCTGGGTGTTCTGGGTGCTGAGGGTGGGCGCCTGTGTGATGACAGTGAGAGGGCGGAGTGGTGATGCCTTGTTCACACGGAGACCAGTGCAGCTACAAGATCACCTCTGGGGGGTTAATGCAGGTGCTGAGGCAGGAGCAGGTGCAGACAGACACACCTGGTGGGTGCAGGCGGCCCTCACTGAGGTACTACTTTCTCTAAAACTCAATGGAAAAATATCCTCAGGTGAGAATTAACAACAACAAAAAGCCCGGCCGGCGTGGCTCAGTGGTTGAGCATTGACCTATGAACCAGGAGGTCATGGTTCAATTCCCAGTCAGGGCACATGCTGGGGTTGCTGCCTCGCTCCCCAGTGTGGGGCGTGCAGGAGACAGCCCATCGATGATTCTCTCTCATCATTGGTGTTTCTGTCTTTCTCTCCCTGTTCCTTCTTCTCTGAAATCAATAAAAATATAATTTAACAAAAAAAGGAGGGACCATCTGAGAATTCCACCCACCACACTGCATGTACCAGGCTTCTCTGTGGGCGCTCATGGGTGATGCACGCATAACTCCCAGACTACACATGGGCGAGGCCAATGACCAATGGTTTTAAGCATAAGAAAGAAACAACAATGAAGCTGTTATCTGTTAAAAGTGTGGGCACAAACAGGTAGTTGGACATTCCCTGAGGGGTCTCAGATTGGAGAGGGTGCAGGCCAGACTGAGGGGCCCCTTTCCCCCCTTCCCCCAGTGCACCAATTTCGTGCACCAGGCTACTAGTATGTATATATCCTATCTAATAATAGACAAACATGGTAATTAACCATATCTCCAACACGCTTCCCATTGGCTAATCAGGACAATATGCAAACTAACTGAGGGACCATCTGAGAATTCCACCCACCACACTGCATGTACCAGGCTTCTCTGTGGGCGCTCATGGGTGATGCACGCATAACTCCCAGACTACACATGGGCGTGGCCGGTGACCTTGAGGTGCATGAGGTCACGGCGCAAATGCTTTCTTTCTCTGTAAACTCCTGCTGTAAGGCCAGTGCTGTCCGCGGCGACTGCCCTTTCCACAGGAGACAATGGCTATGAGGTGTCTGTCCCAGCAGCCTCGGGACTGCTGTCCACGGTGCTGCTTGGCCCGCCGCCTGGGCGAGCCGCTGTCCATGGTGATGCCCGGCCCGCCGCCTGGAAGAGTCGCTGTCCGCGGTGCTGTTCCTGTTTACCTGAATGGCATACTGTTTGGGGCGGGCGGGGGAGGGGTTAGGTTTACAAATGAGCTAAGCAGACAGTACAGTTTCCATACTACTGTGCCCGGCAAACACCACATCTTTACCTATTGTTTTTTGTTTGTTTGTTTTTTAAAATATATTTGTATTGATTTCAGAGAGGAAGGGAGAGGGAGAGAGAGATAGAAACATCAATGATGAGAGAGTGGTGCCTCCGGTTTGTCCCACACTGGGGATCAAGACCACAACCCAGACATGTGTCCTGGCCTGGAATTGAACTGTGACCTCCTGGTTCATAGGTAGACGCTCAACTACTGAGCCACGCCGGCCTGCACATCTTCACCTATTGTAAGTATCTTGCATCAGCATTTAGGACTCCTGGTTCATAGGTAGACGCTCAACTACTGAGCCACGCTGGCCGGCACATCTTCACCTATTGTAAGTATCTTGCATCAGCGTTTAGGACTATTTGTTATAAACAAAAAACCAATATTAAAACATTATTGCCCTGGCCGGTTTTCTCAGTGGTTAGAGCGTCGCCCCTCCCACCAAATGGTAGCAGTTTCCACTCCCAGTCAAGGGCATGTACTTCAATTGTAGGTTTGATCCCCAGCCCCAGTCGGGGCATTTGCAGGAGGCAACCAATTGATGTGTCTCTCTCACGTCAATGTTTCGCTCTCTCTCTCTCTCTCTCTCTCTCTCTCTCTTCCTTCACTTCCACTCTCTCTAAAAATCAATGAAAAAAATTTCTCAACTGAGGATTGAAAAAATAAAATAAATTTTTTAAAAATATATTAAAAATATATATTTATTATTATTAACTAAAGTCCATGGTTAAGATTGTGGCTCATGCCTTACATTATACAAGTCTATGAGTCTTGTTTTTTTAGTTTTGTTTTTAATTTACCTTTATTCTTGAAAAATTACAGATGTCCCCTTACTCCCCCCCATTGACCCCTCCACACCACTCCCACCCCCTCCTCAGGCCTTCACCGCACTATCTTCTGTGTCCATGGGTTGTGCCTATATGCATATAAATTCTTTTTTTAAATCTTTATTGTTGGGAGTATTACAAATGTCCTCCTTTTATTCCCCCATATCACCCCTCAACCTGGTTTCTACCCCACCCCAGGCCTTAATATAAAATCTACTCTCTTAACAGATGTTCAGGTGCAGGCAGTATGGTGCATAACTAAAACTTTATACACATTTAACAACGAAGGAATCAAAGGCTATCACCACCAAAGAAAAATTAATGAAACACAGAGGAAGACAGTAAGAAAGAGAGGAGTGAAATAGCTATAAGACAGACAGAAAACTAGTAACAAAGTGGCCAGAGTAGACCCTTGCCTATGTACAATTAAATTAAATGTGAATGGACTAAACTGCCCAATCAAAATGCAATATCCCCAGGTGATGATTAACAAAAGTTAAGAATAAATACACAAAGGAGTCACAGAGACAAAGAGGGCCATTGATGATGATGAAAGGATCGATTCCCAAGTGGGGTCAGGGCCACAGGAAAGGGCTCCTGTGAACGCCCTCTGACTCCTGAAAGGTTGGGAGTGGGCGGGGGTCACACACCAATGACATGAGGCCATAACGTATCAACAAAGACTTTATTCCAGGCACCTGGGTGCAGGTGGGCTGAGTCTGAAAAAGGAGTCAGCGGAGACTGAAGGGAGAGTCAGGTTCTTATTAACTTCTGCTGCTGCATGCCGCTCTGCTGACGTGAGGGTCCGGTCCATCCTTGACTCCTCCCAGCGTCAGGTGGCTAATCGGCATCTGCGCTATGCAGTGCTCAAGGCAGCAAGCTTTCTGCAAGGCATCTGCTCAGCACAATACAGTTTTCTCTGCCCCGTTTTATTCTCTTTAACCCTTTCAAGCCTCTCTTTTCTCTTGTTCCTGAAAGCCAGGCCCAGATCCAACACTCCAGCTCACGATTCCACTCTAGGAAAACTCAGCATCACTAACTTTAATATATATATATATATATTTCAGAGAGGAATGGAGAGGGAGAGAGAGATAGAAACATCAATGATAAGAGAGAATCATGAACCAGCTGCTTCCTGCCCGCCCCTAACTGGGGATCGAGCCCGCAACCTAGACATGAGCCCTGAGCTGGAACCAAACCATGACCTCCTGGTTCATAGGTCAATGCTCAGCCACTGAGCCACAAGCTAAGCCACAAGCCTCGCTGACTTTCTTATGTGAGAGGATCTGTCTGGAACAAATGGGCCTCGGGAACTAGGACAGGGCACGTGCCAAGGTCCTGAGATAGCCCGGTGCGTGGATACCTGGGTCGCTTTGTCACACCCTCGCCAGCCACCCAGGCCACCCCACCTGGTCCGAATGGCTGCACCTGTGCCTGATGTCCTGTAATGACCCCAAGAGGTGGATCTTGCTGACACCACCCCCATCACTGGGACGGGCAGCTCGGCTTCCACCCCAGTGACCAGCAGCAGGTGGTCTGTGCGATTTGCCAGAAACCTGGGCATACAGGTGGGAATGGACTCGACAGGCAGACACCGCTGGCCTCAACACTCTCGGGTTTCGCCAAAGTCCATGATGTGGTGAGCCGCCCAGAGATTAAGTCCCTTGCGGTGGGGTCAGGGCCCTCAGAGCGGTGGAGGGGTGCACACTGTCTCAGCCAGAGGGGCATTTTCAGGGTCCAGTGACCACCGTGAACTCTGTCCTCGCACCTCTATCCCCTGGAGTGCTTCTTAGGCAACCGTAAGCAGCGCCCACAGCTCACACAGCTGGGTACCGCTGGACAGGAGCTCGAGGCGCCCTGGCACCACAGGGAGGAAGCCGGTGGAGAGAGCCGAGTTTACCATCAGTTTGCGCAGGGGAGGGACCAGAGGACACGTCCTTCCCCACAGCTGTGGCTCATGATGCTTTGCACAGTGGCCATGGGCTCCTCCGGCCCCTTGCCCTGCCCCGTGCGAGGTGGGGTCACTTCCTTCCCCGGAATCCAGAGCCCACAGGCCACCTGACCACCTCTGCAGGAAGGGCCACAGAAGGACCATCACTAGGCCTTGAAGGCAGGACCTCAGGAGACGTGGTCCCAGCACAGTGCAGCAGAGAGGGACCTGAAACCTGCCCAGCCCCAGCCCTGCACCCCAGGCAGAGCCTTCGAGCCCCTCGGGAGGCTCCTGTGCACCCCTCGACCAGGACCTGGGACTTGGATATGAGAAATTGAAGCATCCATCTTATATAAAAACTGCTGTTTGAAATTTTAACCCTGCTATTCTGGCTTCTCTCTTAAATAATAAGGAAAATAAGACTACTCCCATTCCAGAGAGGCTGGAAGCTATGCCCCAGACAGAGTTGTCAGTGCTGACACCAGGCCAGGCCTTGAGATATGGTCTCACAGCCCCTTCCCAGCTCACAGGCCTCCTTTCTCAGAAGGCCCGGAAGTCTCATTCCAAATTTGGAAGACAAAGGACTGGAAAAAGTATAAATAGAGAAGTTTCCTCCATGTTGGCGGGCCCAGAATTTGAAAGACACATTTTTCTCTGGGCCCCCGCAGAATTTAATAATAAAATGTAACTCCCTTTCTCTAAGCATGGCTTGGTTTTTCTTTGGTCTTCTGCAACAAAATCACAAACCGTGAGAGATGGAGAGAGGACTGGATGGCAGGACGGGCGGAGGGGCCCAGAGGGCTGTTGGCTGACACACAACAGGATGGGTGCTCCGGGGCACCTGGGCACTGGGCCCTGCAGATGCTCTGCCAGCCTGAAGGGCTCAAGTCCTGCCCACGGATGGGCCCCTTGAAAGAAGCGATGCCTGGCCCCTCCCCATGGCCTTGCTGGCCCCCGGCACTTCAGGGGTGGGGACTCTGGTGCCTCCCAGCACCCCAAGCCAAGGCCAGACCTCGGACTTGCAGGACGACCGAGCTGCGTGCAGCACAAGACATAGACACTGAGGGTCCAAGTCCCTTGCGGTGGGTCCGTGCCCTCAGAGCGGTGGAGGGCTGCACGCAGTCCCAGCCAGAGGGGCATTTTCGGGCACCAGTGCCCGCTGTGAACTCTGTCCTTGCACATCTGAGCCTGGAGGGCCGCTTCCCTCTGACCATGGTCAGCACCATCCTTTGGTCAATGATCAGGCCACAGATGGAGCCAGAGAGGGAAGGAGGGCAGAGGCAGGGCCCTGAGGACGGCTGGCTCCTGGGAGCCGCCTCGGTGGGTGGACATGGAGAGTCTGGGCTGGGCTGCAGACCGTGACTGGACGGCCTGTGCCCACACCCACGCTGGCCGGGCAGGGGGAGGTGTCAACTAGGCTGGGGAAGCCAGGGGCCTCGGGGAGAGCCTGGC